TATTTATCAGTAAAATTAAATGATCACAACTACAATGATGCATATAGACAAGAAGACATTTCAAAAAAAATTCAATGAGACTGGCAAGAGTTAAGATATACATAAAAATACATCGTGGTCAATAAATAATGTGATAAAATATTAAAAGTAAAGCGAAAGTTACTCATAAGCTACGGAGGAAAATGGGAAAGCCAGTCACACTTAATTGTGTGAATGTAAAAAAATCGAAAAATACACGATAATGAGGAGTTGGGGATGAAAGGGATCTCAAGAAATGAAAAATATGTGTTTGGAATATATAAATAGAATAAAAAGACGTTCGAAACCAAATCAACCAATAAGTTCGTTAAAAATAATTTCATCCCTCTAACAAGAGGCAGCCAAAAGGCCAAACTCCTCATTCTTTCTACCAACGGGGCGACAGCCCAGACCCATGCAAATATACACATTTACTTACGCCTGTAGTCGAGGATGAACTGATCTGAGGATCATAGAGAAAAGCAATCGCCCGACGAATGCACGGCTCCAAGTAACCACGAAGAGAAGGCATATGTTCCATCGCGGTAGCGTGTAAGGCCTATATGAAGATTTAAAAAAAATAACGTTGAGCTACTGCATTGAAGCATTGGTTAAGATAATTAGCAGAGGATAGCATAAAAGAGGAAAGATAGATAGAAAATAAGCAGAAAATAATAAAGAGATTTAAATAAGCAGCAAATGTGAGCAGAACGGCCATATAGCAATTAGTAATAATAGACAGACAAAGAATAATAAAGTGGCAATACATTTAGAAATAAAAGATTAGAAAGCTAAGGCGTAAAAACTTAATAGATTTAGACTAACTTGAACAAGTGCTTTTTCCACAGGCTCAGGTAAACGAGGCGAGGATTCAATTACTCTGAAGATGGGTGTGTAGTCTCGACTAGGGTAGACAGATGGAAAGTCAATGCATACGGTGACAGTGCCCGCCAAGGGCATCTTTACCTCTACCTCGGGCATTCGGTGATGAACCTTCGATGCAGCCTGACTATGAAATATAGATTTATCGCGCAAAGAGCAAGCCTTCGTTGGCGAGGGCCGCGAAAAAATTGAAGGCTCAACCCAACTTCCTGCCTTAGCATCCTCAAAGTCTTTGTTGGTAGTGTTCTTATTCTTATCAGTTTGACGGTTGTGCAACTGTTTACTCGAAGTTTGGACATCGGGTCGAATAGGGCCAGGGGCTTGGGGAGCGGAGCTAGCTTCACCATCCACGGTATCGAGGCGGGGAACAGCGGGAATACTAGAGAGGGCCAAGGGCAAGGAGAAACTGTCTGGGCGACTAGCCGATGCGACCTCATCACCTTCGTAGGGGGGTGCGTCATTTGTATGGTTGATGTCCTGGCTAGAAGTATGGCTACTGAGAATTCTCTCGGATGACTGGTCTCTATTGGAAAGTTGGGGGTGTTCCACGTCAGTCGTCAACACTGACATGGTGGCCTCAGCAATCTGGGGAGGCCTAACATCAAAGTTCACTATGGGAATCAGCAGGTCGTCACTAGGGCGACGTAAGCTGAGTGAACAACATCCTAATTTATTCGTCTCGCGTTCTTCGAGAAAAATAGGCGAAACTCCAGAAGAGGGCGGGTTAGTTTGGCATCGTTGAAGATGAGCTTCCGGAACGGAAAACAAGTCTAACTTCGAAGCAGGCTTCTCGGCATCGCCTTGCGCCAAAAGCAGTGGTTCAAAAGTCTCGGAGGGAGTAGGTGATTGTAGCACCCGATGGCTACTCTCGGTACGCTGGCCATGGGTTATACGACTTATTCGCGAAGATGAGGAAGATTCATCCTTAGAAGGGCATGATTGTGGCAGTGAATCAGGAGCGGGTTGTGTATCCGAGTAAAGCGGACATAAGACGTGGTGGTGGTGATGGTCCCGACGACAGTAAAACAACAGTAGCTGCAACTGTCTAGCGACTAGGTCTACTTTGAGAAGTTTGTACTACGAAAATAAAATGGGGATAAATCACGAAAATCAATAAATAAAAGATCGAAATTCTATAAAAATGATAGTCAATCAATTGTTAATGAAGCAAAAAGGAATTTATTGAGGTAAGATTGTGTTTTCAAATTTCGTCACTCTCGACTTTCGAGCCTCGCTCAACATTCATTGTGGAGATTTTGTGTGTGAAGGTGCCTGATGAAGAGATTCGTAGGTAGATCTTATCAAAAGACGACGGCTGATTTCCGTCGTTATGGAGCCGTTCGAAAGGGTTCGTAAAGGAAGGGCATCATCAGGGTCTGACTTGAAGTTAGCTGAAGGTCGTTTACATGAATGAGTTCCGGCTCTAAGGGTGTCCATTAACAATCTGACGAAAATTCAGCCCGTCTTCATCCAAAACGAGGTAGGATGCCTAGTGGACTGCATCAGCCTGAACGTCATAGTAAAACTAAACGGCTGCACAACGATAGAATTTAGCCATCGTCTTTTGGTGAGTTCGACCTACCAATCTGTTCATTCGGCAACTTACCGAGAAATGAAAGTCAATACAACGATGTTATCTCATATTCGTTAAAAAGAATCATCCTTTTAAATTCTTATTTTGTGAAGACATCTCACGCCAAAGAGGACACTGGGCAAGCCCGCCCAGAGAAGCGATAGCCAATTTTAAGCCGTATCAGCAATTATCTTTTCCCTGTCTTTTAGTCTCATATCGCATTTATACTACACTGCTCTGATCGCAGCCACTACCCTCAACTTCATCAGTGCTAACCATGACTAAAAGGTATCACAAATTTTGCTCATAGTTCGAAGGCCTCAGTGGCCTAAATGAACGAATACTCAGTCCGTCGATCTACGAACCGATCAGAAACTCCAGTGTGTAAATGAACTTTAAGTATTCCATCCTCTGGGCTTATCCTGCCAAAGTAAAAGTTTCACTGCTACATTTGAAGTGTGGCAAGATGGGTTAAACGATCTTATTTGCCGAGCATACAATCACTTTCAAAATAGTTATTTAGTGATGAATTCGACGGCACTGGCAAGAGCCTCTAAGAGGGCAAAAAAAATACCATCCATGTATAAGCTCTTAAGCGGTTACTTGACGCCAACCGTATCAATGATCGATGAGGAGACAGATAGAGAAAAGCATTCTTCTTGCTTTTACAATAAAATA